GAATGAGTCATACAGTAAAATCTCGTTAATTGGACCCCCGTTAATTTAAAATTTCGATTGTTTCGGCCACGGCGTCTGGTCCCATCGAAACTGCCCATTGTTCTATGACTGAAAACTTTCATTATTTTGGAAAACTTCAGCCCTGCTTTGGTTAATTCGAACGCCGGACCGCGGTCGAGTCATGACGGGGAAGCAGCAGCGGATCCTGTCGGCCAAATCGACGGCGCATCTAAACAACTTTGGGATCAGATTGCAGCCTCTGAGATTCAAAACTATGGCCATGGATAGTACATCTCAGAGGCACAAAAAAAAAAAAAAACACATAATGGTTTAAACAACCAAAGTGGAAGGCAGTGCATCGTTACTGTCATCAGCAATGGGCAACCCACAGATTTGCCTTTCCTTATCTCTAGCCCGTCGAACACGTTTGCGTGAAGGTTGAGTTGAATTGCTCATCTCTAGTTTGGTTTAAATTATTTAACTGTACGTGATCAGTGCCGTCTGCAGTCCTACTGTGTGCTGTTTTTTGAAAAGTTCGCCGGTTTTCATTTCATTTTTATCACCGTGCATTTTTGTGTGTTTGTGTGTGTGTGTGTGTGTGTGTGTGCACGTGCTTGTGTTGTATACTTGAAGCGCACGTGCGTGACCCACACGCGAGTGATGCCGGGATGGCTTCCCCTCCGTCTCCTGCGACCCCAACTGCCCCAACTCCCGCAGCAAAGAGGGCGAAGTACGAAGCAAAGGATTTGGCTGTGAAGGTGAGAATATTGAAGGAATTGCAAGCGGGAGCATCTCCAAAAGAAGTGATGAAAAAGTTCAATGTGAAGTAAAATACGCTGAGCACTTACGTGAAGAACGAAGAACAGATTATGTATGATGGGGACATGTTTGCCTACCAAAGGAAGAGCCTTCGAACAGTTATGCATCTTAAGCTAGAAGCACTGGATTATCGTTTCGCGCGATGCGCGTTTGCCCTTAGCAGCCCCCTTATCTGCGCACAAGCAGAGTTCATGGAGACCATTAACATTGACTCCTTCAGCGCGTAGGAAGGCTGGTTCGAACGCTTGAAGAAGCAACACGGGCTGGTGTTCCGCAACGTGTGTGGTTAAAGAGGTGCGGTTGACAAAAGTGTTGTGCAGGACTGGCGGTCTGGACTATCTGCACGCTTTTTCTACGTACGAGCCGTGCAACATTTTTAACGCTGATGAGACAGCGCTGTTCTATAAGGCTCTGCCTGACAAGACAATCACGTTTAACGGGGATCTTTCTTTCTGGAGAGAATCCTGAACACAATCTAAGAACACAGTTGTAACAAACTTGTTACAACTGTTGCAACACAAACTGGAAGATTGTGCATGCTTCCATTCTAGGAGGCCACACAACTAGCCATTAGAAACAAAACTAGACTAAGACATGAAAAATTCAACATGGCAGCTTTCAAAATAGAGTAGCATAGCAGAAAACGAGCAATTTAGTCTAGAAAATCAAACTTCAGGGCATGAAGTTCGTTCGAAAAATTATCCGCGAAAATGAATTAGTGCTATGGGAACCTTGATGGTGCATTAGTCAAGTCCAAAATATCCAACAAGTCTGAACTTTTGGGAGTTCGAAAAATATGTCAGCTACAGTACTTTGGTTATTTGTTAGATTCAACTGGTGAGCTCGCCATTGTGTAAAAGCTGTTAAAGGAGCATTGACATCAAATTTACCCATGCCAAGATTTTTGCATCAGCGAGTAGCTATAGACACTGTAGCAGTGATTCGCGACCTAAAACGCAACTGAGGGTTGAATAACTATCACTTTTATTGATTAATACCACTGGTATCTAGCACGATTCAAAACGGCTGGCTATCCCGCCATTTTTAGCGCTGGGAGCACCAGCAGTGACGGTACCTTGCGGTCACCTCCAGATCACGCCACAGCTGACCATTTCTCCACAAAAAGAGTGACACCAGGCTCAGCTGCTCCGCAAAAATTTCGTCTGCTTGGCGGACACATTCAGTCATGCCTTCTCACCTGCATTGCCATCGTCGCTGTACAAAGTGTCAACTCGGCTTGAAAAAGATAGTCTGGAGCTTGGAATCCCCGCGATTCGCGACGTTGCGAATTATTTTTGTTTTGATCGACCTTTTACAGAACAGCTATTTCAAAACGGACGCTGTTCCAAGACACTGCAGAGGTGCCCGAGGATGCACGCTTCAGCCATGTTCGCTAGTGTGTCTTAGTTAGCTATATTGGTGTGTTTTGGTGTGCAAAGCATTCATGTGTACGCAGAGGGGTCAATGGAATATCGCTATTGGGAACGAACATCAGCGGAGAAACAGAATATGTTCCCTGCTTGCCAGGTTTTTCTTTGCGCCTCCAGATGACCCCACATATCCAGCCTTTCGCGGTTGCGGCGACAGTAACACGGTACTACGCGAACGTAAAGTCTACGATGAACTAAAATTCAACGATACCTGCGTGTTACTTGTTAGCGATGATATCTTACTATACACTGTTCCACTTTGATAGCCTATGGTCGTGTTGGCGAGTCACACATACAGGATATGAAAAGAAACCCTCATTGCGCTTTTTCCGGGCTTCGAATAAAATGACTGCTACTCACCTGCAACTCACAACGATTCCCCGACATGCTGACCGACAAGCACACGTTTAATGATGCTCTTTTCTTTCACCGTTTTTTAAAGGTGGTTTTCATCGTGATAAATTTCATGAAATCAGTCAAAGCGGTGCCGAACCGAAGATCAGACGGGACGAGCGAATGCATTTCCAGGCTTCAGCACTAGTCGGCGCCACGCTAATAACACTCGGATCGTACACGTCATCGCTACTAGCATATCATCACTCAGGATAGTATTTGTGGAATGTATCACTCCGAACACGGAGCACTAGTGTCGATGTCGCAGGGCATTCCAATTTCCATTAAACTCTTGAGCGCTATTTGCTGCCAAAACAAAGTAACTTCCACGCGACGGATATCATTTAAATTTGGCCAAGACGACCATGCACACCAAGCCATCGCAGGAAGTGCACATCTCGATTTTGAAATTTGATGTCAGTACTCCTTTATTAAATGCCCAGATGTTCGTTGTACAGTGGGATGCTCCCTACTGTGTTCACTTGTTCCGTAAGCAGTTTTTTCAGATGCCGCTAAGTACAGTCGAACCGCGCTACAACGAAACTGACAGGGCACGGGAAAAATTTCGTTGAAGTGAAAATTTCATTGTAGTGAAATTGACAAAATATGGCTGATCTGAGCTCGCAAAACAAAGGAATGTTTATTCTCAAAATTAAAAAAATTTTCACTGCTTCCTATTCTTTCTCAGCAGCGTCACATTTTCACTCATGCATAGCCAAGCCATAGTGAAAAGCACACTGAAACAACGCCGAAAACCACCTTTGTGAATGAAGCAAACAGTTGCATTAACATGTTAACACCAGCAGCTGTCCGTCGTCAAAAGTATCTGACAACGCAGACATGGAGGCAGGGTATTCTGGAGCGGCGACTTTTGCATTATTCTATGCGATTCTTATCATCCATCACTCGCGGCTAGCTGATTTTGTTGATAATACAGACGAACAGCCGCTTTGATTAGTTACCACACTGGCCAAGCACGAACATAATGATAAGCATCGGAATCGGAAAAGGCATTGTTCCGCGGTTGCACCTGACAGCTGTGTTAAAAAAACCATCAACTGCTGAGCGACTGAGCTTCAGCTTCAGATGTTCTGCGACTCAAAAGCAAGCCAGCGGCAAAAGCGAGGCCAGGGCAGTTTCATTGCCATCACTATCGAGCAATGGCGGCGGCGCCCATGCTTGCTGAAGTGCGGTGGTTTCTGGCAGGTGCTAACGCGTGTTTTAGACTTCCTTGATGCATTTTCAGGCTCTGAAAATGCATCGAAATGTTAGAAATTCGGTTTATTGCATAGCAATAAGTATCTGAGCCTCGACTCGCATCGCGAAATTTCGTTGAAGCGCGACGATCAAAGAAAAAGTGTTCGTTGCAGCAACAATATTTATGCATTGACTCTTATGAACTGCTCACGGGGAACCGTGAAATTTTCGTTGTAGAGGAAATTTCGTTCGAGCGGCATTCCTTGTAGCGGAGTTCGACTGTAGTCAGGCATTATAGTAAACTGTGGCTGTTTCATTTGCTTTTTACTATGCACTTGCAAGCCCGCAGAATTACCCCAGTGCTTGCTCAGACTGCTCACTTTCAACCCTTTAACTGGCATCCTGAAGCTGTACGTGCCACACAAGTTTGTACCAATTTAACCGACGATCAGTCACTCTCGGCTGGGCTAATTTTCCACTCCTTCTACCTCATCAGGTATATCACTGTCGCATAATGCTTTGCTTGCAATTTTTAACCCTAAGTGACAAAAAAATTGCTTTTACTGCTCATCGCACGTGTTTTAAGCCTGCCCACAGTCACTTCATCATGCCGCATTGAGCAAAGAATGCCAGTGGCAGCGATGCTTCAAGAAAAAGAAGGTGGCTCTTAGAGCAGTACAGAAAGCTGCATTATTGTTGACATAAAATTTATGTCCGATACCCTGAATATTGGTCGAGATAACGACGAGAAAGGCGGTAATGACGACAATGACTGTGACACACTGAGAAGTGCACGTGTGTGAGAAGTGCACGCACGTGAACACTAAAACCCGCCACCATTTAGGCCACTAATTTTCAATGTGTTACCGTGTACACCATCAAATAAATGCTTTGACTTTCAATACGTTCCGACTTTTTACCACAGCATGCAATGAGGGAAAGCCACCCTCCACAGCCGTTTTTTTTTCTTGTTTCGTTTATGTGTTAATTAAAAAAAAAAATCGATGATTTAATATATTTTCAGAATCCGAATTGCGTGAAAGGACTTATGACTACTATAAAAAAATTGCAAGTTTAATAGATCTTTCCGAAGTTAATATGGCAGTGAAGGGTGAAAAGTTTCTTTAAAATTTAAACTGAAAAAAAAAAAAAAAAACTTACTTTGCCCTTTCCTGCATGCGTGAGAGTCTGGCAGTTGGCAATTGTGTTCAGCAGTGAGTTCTCATCCCGGATACAAGGAGCATACTGAATTTCAAAGAACAGCCCACGACCTGTGGCCTGCACAAAGAAAGAGAGCCAGAAATCTCTAAAGTTCTCAGCGGACTTGTCTGAGTGCTACAGATGATGTGTTGTACACTACACACGGCATCAGATATGTGGTAACTGGGAAGGAAATCATAGGCGCAGAAGGAAGACGAAGAATGAAAAAGGGACAGGGACAAGCACGCACTTGCACACTTGCAACTGACTTTGATTAGAAGGATGCCTACCTTTCGAAACCCTCACACATGTGTGCACCTAGACCTATTGGCACAACCTATCAGCTAAGCAAGGAAACTGATTTTAAAATGGAGACAAGGACTGGACGCTGATGCAAAGGCCTCCAGTTCGCCTAATATACATTGCCTCCACTACTAAGCGAGCTGGAGAACAATGCATTAGCGTCTTGTCTTTGTTTTTGTTTCAAAATGAGTTCACTTTGTTAGCTGATAGGTTGTGACGATAGGTATGGTGCATTTTTTTGTTTTTGTTTTGCAAGTGTACGCATGCGTGAGGCTTTCACAAGCTAAGCATTGTTTATATAATAAAAGTGAGTAGCGAGTGTGCCCTTGTCCGTTCCCCTTCTTCGTCCTCAGTTTTTGTTCTACGACGACAATTTCCTGCCCAGCTATGGACCAGTAGCCCGACAGCAGATATTATTGCAATATGTGGTAATATAACTGTAAAGAATGAATAGCAAGAAAAGTTTGAAGTTCTCAGCCAAAGCTTTAACCATACTGTTTAGAAGCCAGATGTGGCCAGCGAGCGCCATACACGTGGGAATGAATTGCAAATGGTAAATACTATAGCACAGCTATAGGCTTGTACAGGGTTTTCATTAGCGGGGGGGGAGGCTGAAGGCTTAAAAATATATTGAGCGCTAACAAACAGGGCTGTAAGGGACTGGACAACATCATGCACCACAATGCGTCTCCCTTACATTCCTATTTGTTGGAACTAAATAAGTTGTCGAGTTCCGTTTACCAACACACATAAAAATTGGCAGGGCAATTTTACGCGTGTTGCATAAAAAACGCAGCGACTCTTGCCAACCCTAGCTTTGGTCTAATTCGAAAGAACAACTCCACAATGCATTGAAAGATAAAAACAAGTTGATGATGCGCCGCTCACAACAATCTGTCCTTGGTTCCAGGCTTTTCTGGGTTACAGGAGCAAAGTAAACAGTTGTGAGATGTAACATCAGTGGTCTTCTGACCCAATTATAATCAAAAAACTTCATGGCCCAAACACATTAGAACAATGATGAGATATGTCTTTCTGAGTGACGCTATAGGTCTGAATTGGTGCCTCCTTTCAATGAATGGGAGGGAGAGGCTACACTCCAACTATTGCTTCACTTGAGCATCTCAGTTGTTTATTTAACATAGATGTGATCAACTGAAGCCACTTTTGGACAGCTTTTCGAGCAGCTAAAACCTGCACTTAGAACAGCACAACAACTTCTTGGAGCAGTTACTCAGAAAACATTTTCAACTGCAAGTATTTGTCTTTAAGTTGTACACTTGCTTAACAACATCCATATAGGCTCAACTACAGGCTTCTTTACTCAGAAAACGTTTTAAAACAAGGGTCAGCAATCGGCGGCCTACAGAGCAGTATTCTGCGAACCCTGGCATGACGTGAACCCCCTCCCCTTTTCCTTGTATCTTCCTACTGAAGGCTGAAATAACAGTTTTGGCGTTAAATGAAATTATTGTTTGTAACTTATATTTGACTGCAACTTTGTGACATGTGTGCTGAAAATAAACAAAGTGCTGAAAATTACGATTTTTGCAGAATAGTAGGATGTAGCAGTTTTTTCACTTATACGGACAGCTTATCCCATCCTTGATTTATTCACATTTTACAAAAGTATGGTTTCTAAGAAAGTGAGTTGATGACAGTGACAGTGGCATGCATTCAGAGGACAGATAAAAATAATCACTTACAGCTCCATACTGAGTTCTCTTCACCACAAATGGGAGCCGGCTATCTAGTGGGAGGCTGATTATGTCAAACTCTCCCTGGCTGCACAAACCCTGAAGGCAAGAAGTGACAACATAGATACAGCACAGGCACTAGCGAAACGTAATAAGTGTGTCCTTTTAAAGTGGCTGCAATAAAATATGTAGCAAAATATGAAACACATCAACTAATTAAACCTTTCACTGTTGAGTGAGGCTGGCGGCTGTGACACATCCCTAGCGTCAGCTTGGTTTCAGGAATATTAAGGAAACTTGAATTAATCAACTTCTCATGCAAACGGTTAAAGAGCTGCACACGTGAATAGTTTAGAACGTGACCAATCAAAAGGGAGCAGCACGTCAATAGCTGCCCTCTTGTACCCATAATCACGTTTGCTTCATGGTTGCTCAGCATGAGAGTAGTGAACGTAGAGCGACCATACTTCCACCTAGTCACTTTGTAATTTTGCGCCATAAAAATTTACAGCCCCGCTGAACTTGCAGATGCCACAATGTGCCGCAAGCGGTTTTCCGTCGTTTAGAGAAGTTCGAAGAACGGGGGATCAACTATTGCGGCTTCCGCACGACTGCGGCAGTGCCTTTGTGGGAGATCATAGAGGAAGAAAAGAAGGTAAGGTGGCTACCAACGGCAAATGCGCCGGCATGACTTATCACCGACAAAAATCCTTATCACAGTAAGCATCCCCAGCTATCTGCTAGGAAACGCGTGCGGCGTAGTGACATTTAAGCCTACTGCGAGCTTTTAATAGGTGGCTACCTGAACGCGTTGATCGCTGCCGCCTCGTTATGCGAGACCACGTTCAAGCACGCAATGCTTTGCAGAAATGCAACGCAAATACTCCGCTGTTGCAGAGTTTAGCGTTGCCGGTCCCGCACACCGAGAAACCTTGATGCATTGACAATAAAGCACGTACATTTTAGCTATAGTGCACATTTATGTTACGCGACAGCCCAAAAGCACCTTCATGCGCCGCCAGGATTCCTAAAGCATTGCTCATCTCAACACCACGCTGGCCATACAGGCTACCTGCCACAGTGAAACGGAGTGGGTCATTTTTAAAGCAAGCGGATCGGTAGACACGGCGTGCACTGACTAGGCGAAGCCCTGCACGCAACTAGCCAGCAAATGATTTGATTCTCTGCGGCCATAATTTATTAAAAAAAAAAAGCTGTTAGAAGCAGATCACGGAACACGTATCGTGGACAGCCGATTACGTCTGTTCCATCGCTGTACCACGCTGCATATCTCGGACCTCGCAGTAGGTAGTTTTGAGATGCACTTTGGCATCGTCACTGTGTGCTATCGCATGGTTGGGTCGGAGTGACAAAATTTTTTCGACACTGCGGAAAAAAGAAAGAAATGGCTTTGTGGTGGATACTTTAGGCAATATTTTCTGTTGGATTGCATTTATTCCTTTGTTGGCAGCGATGGCTCATGCCAGGAGATGCAGATTTGTACCTGGTGGTTAATGCGTAGTACGTTCAGTGCATAGTTATGCAGCTGTCCCCAGCAGATACGTATTAGCGAGGTTTCACTGTACATAACAACTCAGCTTGGGGCGAAAATATAAGCTTCTAGAAAAATTTGAAAAACTGTGCAATTAGACGAAACACAGTGGTCTTGTGTTTCAATGTAAGTATCAAAATTCACAATGGAGAATGTGCTATAGATCAGTGATAATGCGTGGGGGTGGGGAGGATGCAAAAACGTATCGGTATGCCAGTGACAGTGAAAGGGTTAAGGATGTACTGACACAAAATTCTGATGGCAAGATAACTTGTAGGATGTTTAAAAGTCATGAGAGCCTCAACAACTGCCACTGTCTTGAGAAAACACAGTGAAATAGGTAACTCGGCATATTCGAAATAATCTGTTGTTTAGCAGCATTCAAAGTAACAAAGATAGGCAAGAACGTTTTTTGCCTCCTTCTGTGACATTTATTACTGTGAAAGCTATTACGAGATCACAACACTGGTCACACGCAGCGCCGCAGTTTTCTGCCGCCGCCACGGGTGTCTGTAACCACTATTGCATGAAATAAAAAACACTCAAATAAGAAACACCAAGGACACCAAGGTCATGTGCTGATATAGTGATATTCAAACCCAAATCCACTGCGTGTAAGCCTAAAATTCTACCCGCTGAGCCCCGCCTGTGCTTGAGACTCGTTTGCAAATTTGCCTTAGGCAGGCTTGATGTCGGGAAAGGAATCGCGTTAATATGAGTAATGAAGTGTTTTATAACAGCAAAGGAACAGCCAGGCGTCACACAATGCGAATTGCATAATGATTACATTGTCCGATTTTCCAACACACTACAAAAGCTTGTTCTTCATCACCAATTAAATGTGGCACATACCCACTTCAGGCATAATTCTTCATCGTCGCCACGCACTGAATGAAACACAAAATTAGTTACAAGTGTCTAGCGGATACCACACTTCCCCGAAGAATGACGAAGAATACCATAGTGAATGCCGGTTCAAACAGCAACGTGGAGTACCTCAAGGGGCGGTCCTATCTCCGCTGTTATTCAATGTGTTGATGAGCTCAATTCCCATTGAACGAGATATCACTGTCTACATTTATGCAGACGACATTGCATTTTTCGTTGCAGACAGTGACATTTATTCTTTGCATCAAAAATTGCAAAAGTACATGTATTCTCTTGAAATTTGGCTGCATTCAATTTCATTGTCTCTAAACATCAGTAAAAGTGCGCTCCTGGTGTTCCCTATAGCAGATTCTATTCAAATTTCAGTACTTTATAATCAGGAACCGATTCCACAAGTAGAGTCTATCAAATATTTGGGCATTATTTATAACGAGAAACTTAACTGGAGCCCTCACATAGACTATATCGTGGCAAAGGCACAACGAGCTTCAGGTTTATTGCGAAGGTTGAGCAACAGAAAATATGGGTTACGTAGACACACCTTATTAATGATATATAAAATGTACATGCGCCCAATACTCGAATTTGGGTGTATATTATTTTCGGGTGGCCCTACGTACAAAATTAAACCGTTAGTTCTATTAGAGCGAGAAGCGTTACGGTTGTGTTTGCGACTCCCCAGGTATGTCGCTATTAATGTACTATATCAGGAAGCTCGCATACCAACTATTTTTTGCCGATTCCGTATCTTAACAGTACAAACATACTTGAAATTTTATGGCTTATCAGCGAGACGGTCTGCATATGCCTTTATTAGTGACCCCGACGCCTTCTTCCTCGCTCACTGGCCACGCTTTCGTACTCCCCAGATTATTTTTGTACAAAAGAAACTTGAAAGCATAAAGGTGGATATCAGATCGGTAATTGGAACCAAAGCATTAAATCACAATATTACGATAGAATGTGATGAAATTTTTCCCCCACTATCTAAGTTTCAATCTTCGAGTTACTTAAATGACAGGTTAGAAGACTACATAGCTCATGCGGAAATAAAGAACATAATAGCCACAGACGCTTCTGTGAATAAAGAAAAGGCAGCAGTAGGAATCGTCTCAGATTACCTCGGTTGGTCATTCTCGGTAAGACTACCAGACTTCACTCCGGTTTTCGAAGCTGAGCTCCTGGCTATTATTTTAGCGCTACGAAAACTTCCTTCAAACGAAGAGAGTGCAATGATAATTACTGATTCTCTTTCGCTGTGTACTACTCTCACAGCTTCAGAACAATCAAGAGCTCTAGCGACATTACAAACATTAGTTCCACCTCATGTGAAGTTCCTGAAGTTAGTCTGGGTCCCGGGACACTGTGGCATACGGTTGAATGAAATAGCCGATTCACTATCTCGAGCCACACTTGATGGCCCTGTGATCTCGGTACTACCAGAATCGGAACACATAGTGTCGATCAGATATAGAAAATGGGCTATTTATACGGATATTATGGAAAATATTACTAAACATACGGACTATCAGCACCTAACATACCCCTGGAAACCTCAGTGGAGTCAATCTAAAAAGTTAGCAGTTATTTTAACCAAATTTCGATGCCGTGTCCCTCCATTAAACTTTTACTTGCACAGAGCTGGTCTGGCGATATCCCCCCTGTGTCCATTCTGTGAAGAAACGGAAACAATAGAGCATTACTTTATAACATGTAAAAACTATTCATTAATTAGGAAAAGACTTTTAATTGTTCCTTTTCAAGCAGTAGGTTTAAATTTAACTGCAGATAATGTTCTAAGTTTCGGTGCCTTTAGCTTGGGACATTGCCACAGGAGCGTATTCGATGCTGTATGCAATTTCATTCGAGAATCAAAGCGCATGTCATAATAATGCCTGCTTAAATATATTTCTGACGACACTTGTCTAATTTTGAATGAAATTTGCATATTCATTTGATTGTGACCGGGTGAGATAAGCTCGATTGTCTGGTCTACTCAAAATTTCTGTCTTCCACTGTAGTATTACCTCACCTTTTCTCTTCTTGATTCAATCTTTAATTATTTGTTTAGTTTAATATTCCTTTTTAGTTAATGATTATTTTCTATTTCATCATTAGTTTTTTGATTAAGGATAAACCTTTTAATATATATCATTTAGGATTCTTCTAGATTTCATGGCCAATCCCCCATAGTGGGTATGTGCCAGTGCGAAGGGGCAACAACAACAACAACAACATGAATGCCGGCCTACTATACAGAAATTATGAATGGTTATGGCGTAGTGGGTACCCGGCAAGTGTGCTTCTAGCATTTACCCAGAGAGTGTTTAGAATAGGCTCTGAAAGGTTTTCGTTTTCGTTGCGACTGTACTGCGCCTTCCGTGCAGGCCTGGCATTTTTTTTATTTATTTATTTACATGACTGATGTATCTAACTCCTTCAATATTTACACCTTCTGTTCCTGCCAAATTATGAAGACTTCAGTTGAAAACCAGCTTCTGTAATCTTTTAAGCTATATGTGATGCATAAACAAAACGGGCTTATTGCATGGGTTGTTGAGAAGTAACCCAAATGCTTGCCTTGAAAATTGACTTTTGGCAACAGGTATAGTTGACAATGTATTGTTTTAACTGTTTGTCTAATTACAAAATATAACTTTTTCATGACTGCTGCTATTTATTGTTTGTACAGCATATCCCATCTTGAGTGTAGATGCTGTTCTGCAGAGGCTTTCATCCTTTTCTTTACTTGCTTTTCATATAGTGCTCGTCTAATACAGTACTCACTATCGCTGCTGTAACTATTCTTGGGCCAACAACATTAATAAAAAAATGTAAAAATATACAGGTGAGTAACATGCTACAGAGTTCCAAGTTAACAAGTGCTGTATTATAACTTCTGAACAGTTCAAATCAAGCACTTTATGACTATGTAAATGAAAAAACTATGTGCATTGTTTTTTTCATCTGTAAACAACAAGCAATAGTACCTGAAACACATGGTGCGTACATTGGAAAAACCCTTATTGAGAAGGTAAACAAATATATTGTACTTGCCAAGGCGTTAGTCTGGACTCCATTCTACTGGGCATTCTATATTGATCATTCGTGCCACAAGCTAAGCTTTGAATGCTTCAAGTTATTCAAGGCTCAAATATATTTCACCTCGCATGTAATCCACACAATCTAGTTTTACTATTTCACTCTCATCTAACAAATTGCATGAAATCATGGATCTACATGCGTGCTTCATAACGTCTGGCTGCTAGCACTTTGCAAAAACAGCAGTATGAACTGTTGCATCAGCAACCAGGAATGTACCATTTAGTCATCTTTTCCGAAGTCTCAACATATGCAAGGTCTTTAATGCACTGTTTGAATACAGCTTTCCTATGACAAACCTTCTATAGTTCAATCCACAACAGTTTTAAAGTGGCCCTCCCAAACTTTTTTTGGTGTAGTCAGAAAACACTGTCAATCGGTACTCGTGGCTCATGAAAACGCACTTGCCAAGTATTGTAGCGCAGCAGGGGGCCTGGAATTTACAATAAATTCTCAAAGTTAGCTAAATATCGCTTTCTCTTCTCTTGAAAAGTGATGTTACAGGCTGAAAATCACCACATCCCAGGCCTTGTATAGGCCGTAGGCCAATTTGAGCATGATGCACTCGTTCGTTACTGGGGCAACCGTGAGAGCCCTCGACTTGTATGGTACGTCGCATGCGCGATTGCACTGAAAAGATGTGCACTTAAAAAAAACAAAAGAAAAAAACAAGTGCTGAAGGTCACGAGGCGTGCATGGCGCATCTTTCCATGTGCCATCCCTCCCTGCTCAGCTTCCAGTGCTTTTGCTAAGACGAGAGAAAGGAGAGCTCAATAGCATAGTGCAACAAATCTTTGCAACTCTGCTCGTACCGGACGGATTTTAAAAAGTTTTGCGGTGATGAACTCGTGAGGCAATCAGCTCCTTTAGCCAATCCATTTTGCGGCTACTTGGAAAAGTGTTGCAGGGTGCCCTTTGGAACAAGTACAGCTCTAAGGATCATGAAACCCACCTGGAACATCTTTTCTTGGGTAACCGAGATGGCAAGGATGTCATACTTCTTGGCAACAGGAGACTGAAACTGAACAGGTATTTTTCTCAGCAATGCCAAGGAAACACAAACATTACTTAACAGGCATTTGTATACAGGACATGAAATACTTAAAACCTAAAATAGTGATGCAACAGATAATTAATGCAAGTTTCATATGTCATTGAATGGTAGGGCAAAGGAACAACTTGACTAAGTTTTGTAAGCTGTTTTAGTTAACTTGAGCTAGTTACCAGACAAGATGGACGAGATCAACTGTTCCCCATCCTCGTGAAAACATTGAGTAGCACTTCCGTCTCATTGCCGTGTTGGCAATAACTTCACACGAGTTACAAATAGGGATTGCTGTAGGTGGGTCTGTATGCACCCAGCCCTCCTTTAGTGCATTTATTACAAGGCCCTCTTACGATATATTAGTGCTCAAGTCATCAACACCTTACTATAAAAACTTCAGCTTGGCTGAAGTCTACGCCGTCTTGGCTCAGCAGTTGAACTCGTGCGCAAATCAGAGCTTTGGTGCGGTGTGCATCAAGTCCTCGCATGAAATACTGCCACACCTTACACGACTGGTAGTTTCTATCATTGTTGCTAGTAAATGACTTGCAATCATTCTATGCTTGGTTAGAACCACGCATTACAATGTGCGAACAAGGTTATCAAGACACATTGTTTGTGCCATTTGTTTGCAATAGCAATTGAAACAATCACAGAGCATCATAGCACTTGTCTACCCAGAGCAGTTACCATACCTATATGACAGTTGTCATACGAGGTCACTTCTGCCGTGCTCACAAGCACAAATTATTTAAACATGAAAATTGAAGTCAAGTGCTGGGTTAAAAATAAAAATAAAGAGCATTGGAGAGACAAAGTAAAAGGATGCATTTTGTGCTGTAACATTTTATAGTACTACTGAATGCCTATCCCAAAGATGTCTACTGTAACGCAGTAAACCTATAGTCTCTGTACTGATTGATTGATTGATATGTGGGGTTTAACGTCCCAAAACCACTATATGATTATGAGAGACGCCGTAGTGGAGGGCTCCGGAAATTTAGACCACCTGGGGTTCTTTAACGTGCACCCAAATCTGAGTACACGGGCCTACAACAATTCTGCCTCCATCGGAAATGCAGCCACCACAGCCGGAATTCGAACCCGCGTCCTGCGGGTCAGCAGCCGAGTACCTTAGCCACTAGACCACCGCGGCGGGGCTATAGTCTCTGTACTGATCACGCCAATCGAATCGGAGCCAACTATGCCACACCAGCAGACAGACAAAGCTTCAAGAGGTTGCAGGTTTTCCCCTTTCATAAAACAGTGCACACGCACATAGAGAGAGAAAAAAAAGAAAAAACTGACAATATGAATACTGACTATTGAGTTGATAGCCAGCACTCAAGTAATTGATTTCTGCCTTTTCTCATCTTTGTACATGTGCACTGTTTTATGATAAAGCTCAACCAACTTGCCCAAATCACTACTTTCATTACGTTTTTTACACTTGGACCATTGAATGAACCCAATGCTGGGGTATTATCGTGGAAAGATTCATTTTCTGATGTCAATGCTTTTCGCGCTTGGCCAGTGGTCAGAACGAGGGTCCGTCCCGGCTTATTAACGCGATCAGCCAGTGGTGGGCGATAAGAAAGCACAGCATAAGGCATCACTCCGCAATAGCCCCCCTAAGCAGTTCCAGTGACTTGAAAAGAATAGTATGACACATCCAATGGCCACTCAGCATGCATAATTATGAAGCTACAGTTTTTGCAGGATTTTGCTCTCTACTGCAGGCAGTTGTAAAGCATGCCAGTGTTTCACATGAACACTGTGTGTTAATTTATACAACAGCCAGCCCATCTTAACATTAAGGACATTATTGCTGCTGTTTCCAAGTCTGAACACGAAAATGGGCGATTCATTCATTAAGAAAAATTACGTATTAGACTGCAAAGCCACATACCTGCCCAAGGCACCACTGCCTACTTGCAAATTTAGCTGCTATTAAATGCTGAAAGAACAAACTTTAAATAAACTGCTGAAGCTTTATGTGAAGAAACTACAAAACTATTATGAGGCATACAATATTGGGAGACTCTGGATTCCTTTTGATCACCTGAGGCTTATGCACCTGAACCTAGGTAACACTACACAGTTGTTACATTCTGCTGCAATTAAAATGTGGCTCCCCTGGATGATAATCAAACTGGTGCCCTCGTAACAACGCCACAATATATGTATAACTGCAATTTGACTAAAGCATGTGCCTTAGACTACGTTTATCTAGCATTGCCAGCACAATCAAATGGAACTGTGATGGTTGGTGGAGGCTGTATATGCTTTCAGTGATTCAGAAGAATGAAATATATACGCCAGAATCTACAACAGACAACACTCACCAGCCTATGTGACTCGGCACTGTCCGTCAAATTAGCAGTCAACCGCGTGAGAATTTTAAGCCTCCGATTTCGTGGTGTCAATGGCTGAAGATCTGGGTGAGCCAATGAGTACTGTGGGGGTTCTGGAATCTGCAATGGAAGTAAGAATAAGTTGAAATAGAAAAGTGTGAGCATTTCATGTGGCTGTTACATTCCTGACTGACTTTGCATGTTTTTTTGTTTTTTTTAAGTTGTCTAAAGGCATTTGCAGACCAAGTTTAACACTGCAGTAAATAACTGCGGTGCTATTAGCTGTTTTTCAATTCACAGGTGAGTACCCAAGACAGTAATGATAAGGACAGGGGAGAATGAAAATGCTAATTGCTGAAACGATTAAGTGGCAATCATTACAAAACACATTTGTACAAGATGCCATTATATTAAAGGGGCCCTGAACCACTCAGGTAATTAATGACCAAATGACTTCGGCATGAGAGCTTATCTCATGAATTGATGACCGCAAAACTTCTAGAGTTTGTCAAGAACGAGCGGAGCTACAGAGATTTCACATGCCCTGGAAGCTGCAAAGAGGTAGACAACAAAAGAGGAAAGAAGCTACGTCATTGTGCATCAAGCCCTTTGCATCATGACATGCGACCACCATTAGAGCGACTACTGTGTCATATTAGCATACTATTATAGAGCACGATGCCAGCTCATGGCACAACCTGGTGGGATGAAGCATGCCTGATTCAAACACCGTTCTTGGTTTATGTCAGCTATCGGCCGATAGCAGAAATCTGCTGTTCTGCTGTATCCCTACATACAGCAAGTTCCAGCAGCTCCACAGAGAAGGATGGGCCTCTGCACGATGAGAAGGCATGAGGAAGTAGAAACTTCATGCTCCGCTAGTGAACTCTCTTTACCATGTTTTACTGCAAGATTTGGCTGATCTGTTCACAAAAGCATCTGCTCTCTACTATACGAGATTTTTCACTATGCCTAAGTGGTCCAGAAACCTTTCAGGGTACTTTGTGGTATGGCATAATGTAAAAGGAGCTTTGCAGCATTTTGGTTCTGTTTACCTGATCAGAATCAGTATCCATGACTCTCCTATTTCACTCCATGCTCTGATATGAACGTTTTTTATTATTATTACCCCATTTAGGCTCGCGTGTAGGCTAAGGCATTGTCAATTCGAGCATCCACTGGCACTAAAGACGTCAAACTATACACCACGTTCTCACCTGTTTTCGTAAAGGCAGCAGCTTTCTTAAAAGGCTCATATTTTATGAAGTTCCCTTAGGACAGAAATTTCTAAAATATTTGAGCTTAATCGACCTGTCCTGAATGCTAGACACTTTTTAATTTCAATTCTTTCTTTTTCCCTGAGACAAAGATGAAGAACATTACCCCTAGCGATAGCGTAGTATCGTAACACAGCCCACCAGAAAGACAATATTCACTAAGACCTGTAAAAATAAGCAGGTGAGGACCCACTACACTTCTCGGAATAGATATGCGTACGGAAATGTGATGCAACAACTCACCTCCCAAAACTTTTCACACTTATGCTGATCTGGCTATGCATTAACACCCTCAGACACAAGATGTTGTCCTCCGTGAGACATATGGGCACCACCAACTTGGGCAATTAGGCCCATGTTTTCTTGGTTTTGTATGTCGCAATGTGAACTAATAAGGCAATGAAGCATTGTACGCAACAATGCAACCATTTTCATATGTATGCATCTGCTGCAACGCTGTTTGTTTCGCTGGTAAAGATGCAAAGCACAAAAATAAGCAGCTGAATATGGCAGCACTAAAACTCATCTGTAACAGTTTATACACAACACACATTTTGAAAAAAAAAAATAAATTAAAAATTAAGGTGAAGCTTCAGAGCTGCTCCAGGCAATCAAAAAATGTAGGAGGCAATGAATTGTTTTCGGGAGAGAAGGGTTCAATCATACTTCATGTATGATTGTGCGTGTGTTTGTATGCGTGAATGTGTATATACCAAGCAAAATTGAAAAGTTTCAGGAGGGGGTTGAACCCCCCCAACTGCCCCTCTTGGCCTGTTATGGCACAAACCACTAAGGATAAGTGATGTCACGTGGACCAGGCATGGGTGGTGGCATCAGCCAATGGCTTTTTAGAGTAAGAGTCATACGGCTTGGGCAAAGACAATGCTCTGTTGCCCTCTAACACCGTAACTGTTTACTACCCCCTCTTTAACTCGACATGCAAGTTACAACTTCCTTTTATAAATGAATTCAGAGACAATACAGCCACTTGCCTTGTTTTTTGCCGCTAGATGTTCTGCTCCTATGACCACATTGAGAGCAACGACGTCAAATCCCACTGATAAAGAAAAAGAAGTGCAACTGTTCAAAAATGTCCAGTTGTACAGCAGTAATTTCCCCTGCTTTTTGCATACACTATGCAAAAAACAATACAGCATAAATAAGTAAACACAGGTACTAACCTGCTGTGCTAAAAATATAAGCAACTAGGTCGTAATACACATATTACTTTCACTGTAATCACTTGGCCTGACAGCCGATGATATATTAGGGCTATGAAAGTTCCAAGTTTTTCTTTTTCTTATTTCATTTCTATGCTGTGCGGCATAAAGTTTTTAAGCTAAATACACTATGGTGTTTATTTAATTACATGCTGGCTTGTGGTTCCAGGCACCCTGAACAGGACTTTCAGTCAACATACTCTAAAAGCAATTTTAAGAGGAGAAGTTTCATCACTATATAGCATGCAATCTCACAAATGACTGCAAATTATTTTTCCCAAATCACCTTAACTGTGCCATGTTAAGAACATGAACAGATTGAGGTGCTCCTTTCTTGAAAGTGAAGTTGTAAAAACTGGAGTTGAAAATACCAGGCGTCCGCGGAAACCCTCTGCACCGTTGCTTATCAACAACCAAGCAACAGCAGCACACCCCAGAAGCCCAGCTTAACGCTGCGCATGCACCAAGGAGCAGCCACCACGAAGCCATGCCCACAACTGGAGACAGTTCGTGCCGTCACCACGTCAAGTTTGTCCGACATGGCACGTGCCGAGTACAAGCTACGAAAGACTAACACTTCTACTAGGAATGCCACCGTCAAGCTTTCACATAAGTTTCTGCTGCTCAAGTTTTGCACTGACACTCTCGCATGGTCTGTAAGAGGCTGTAGTTCTGTAGTTCAACTCTGGTCTGTTTAAGCCAATGAAAGACCCTGCATCAGCCAAGACAAGTACGTTAAACACACAAGATCTTTACGCAGCTGGTGTAAACTCTTCCCTCTTTGTGAGGCACAGCCACCTGAAGCCAACATACAAGGTAATCACAGAACACATAAGGGAAGAGTTATTTGTGATATTTTACTTAAGTGTCATACTTACAAAAACAAGAGAAAGGAATATTAAAGCGAATGAAAAAACAGCTTGCAGCACGTGAAAAGCGGGCTTACAACATTTCCATTAAATGTGCAATGCTCTTAACAATCCGAGCTACAGGATTTGATCTTCCACTGTCAACTTTCATGGGAATTTCTGTATGTGTTGGCCAGCAGAAGCCATAGTCATGGAGGTGAATGTGATTTTTACAGCGAAAGCTACGAGATCACAACACGAATCACGTCCAGTTGTCCGCCGCCGCCGTTGTCCGTAACCACATCGCGCGAAATTGGTAAAAAGAAAAAAAAAACCTAGCACTAATGACACAGTGGTGCTCGAACTGCTGGGTACCAGCCCAGTATTCTACCACTAAGCCACACCGATGCTTAGGATTTCTTGGCAAACTTGCTTTAGGCAGGCTTTATGTCAGGAAAGCAAGCGTATTAATACGACATATAAAGCGTTTCAAAACAGCGAAAGAACAACTAGTTGTCCCACGATGCGAATAGCCTACCGAGTGGGTCGTCCAATGCTCCAACCTATTACAAAAGCTTGTTCTTGTTCTCCTATTAACTGTGGTGCATATTCCCTTCAGCCATATTTGGTCATTGTCGCCAGCCACTGTATAAAATTCCTTGCAAGTGTTTAGCGGATACCACGCTCCTCAGAAGAATGGTGAAAAATAGCACAGTGAATGCCAGCCTACTACCCAAAAAACTCTATTAATGGTGTAGTGGGTATCAAGCAATTGTGCTTGCAGTAGTTACCCATTGAGTGTTTTGAAAGGCTCTGAAAGGCCACTCTTCTAGCTTCCGCTATCACTTTGCTGCGCCTCCTGTGCAGGCCTGGCATTTTTTTTTCTTTTTACTATGTGACATCATGCTGCACATGATGTTGTATAAGCTGGCGAACAAACCTTCGCATGCTACCTAGTGCATCAAACCTGAGTAAATGACAGGCTTATTTGGCAAACTTTCATACACTGTGAGATGGACTGCTAAGATGTATTTTTTTGAACACAAGAAAAGATAGCTAAAAAGTGCTTGTGCAGTGATAGTAGCTATAAAATTGAATGGAAAAAGAAGAACATTGTTTAACAAAGTGTGCGCAAAAATTTCTAGTTCCACGTTTTCACTGGAGGAAACACTAGAAAAACAAAAAACAACTGGAGAAAGCTAGCCTGGTTGAATGAAAGTGATGTGGGGCTTTCTACTTTTTTCGTTGAACTTTCACGTAGTGAATTACTGTAAGGGCGATAGGCTGTTACGTTAAGTCTTAGCGAACGCTCTGAAGCAATCCACCACTACTGGAAACGGCGTCATAAGGTAAATTTTGCCACACGTTCTCCATTACTAAACAGCTAGAGCGGCCTGGGCACACAGGCACTGTGCTTTCGCTGGCGCACCAGCTTTAAAGACAGGAATTCCCCTTAGGTAAGAAACACAGCACACTTACGCTGAAAAGCTGTCTTTATCTTTTTGATCACATTCGCTTTATCCAATTTCTCCGATTCTCGCTGAACGATAAGGTTCAAGTCCATCTTGACTGTTTCTTGTCCTTGAGTTTGGTAACTTGCGCACTATGGGCACTGTAAAGTATGGAAACAGTATCATAGTAAGCCCTTTTGTCTGGCAAAACACGTACATACACAATAGGTTAAAAAAAATACACGTCAAGCATTTCTCATACGAATCAGGCCGCCAAGATTACGCAGAAAAGTGCGATGGTAAAGCCTTTCACGTGACTTTAACACTTTGCTCGCTCAGATAATCAGAGTGCACTTGCAGCGACTGACGTGAAGTAGTGACTGCTTGTACTGCTGGAAAAATGGGAACAGGAATCATTACATTTCCCTTCCTTCACGTCAGCAACAGGTTGTACAGCAAGAAATTGAAAAAAGAGTCAGTCATACGGCCTTGACTGCGAAGTAATCACGGCTTTAGGAGGAGTATAGTAACAAACAAAACAGTAAATACCTTTAAGAGCGGTACTTTCACACCAAGCACATGCTTTTGTACGTGCCGGTCGAGCACGCCGCAGAAAAACGCCGTTTGTTGACATCAATGTTGCCAATGCAATACAATTTTACACCATTTTACGCTAAAAGACGTGCTAGTTGAAGAGACTTGTCAACACTTAGAAAATAAATGTAAAATATCAAAAAACAACTATCGTACAATGATCATTACTTTTTAGGCTAAAAGTATTACCTAAAAATAATAAAACTATGACAAGAACTGCTGCGTCACGCGGCGCACGAGCCACCCCCACACAAAAACGACTGCTGCGCCACACGAAAGTGACGCCATGCATTTTCCGGTTGGGCGCTTCGTTTGAATAGTCGGGAGTGTCTAGCAGTACGTCTAGAAGTTACGATAAAAGTCGTTAAACTTACGAAACAAAACATGTTAGTTAGGTCCAGCGTGACAATACAAAACCGGCTTGTTTGCTACCTGAAATCAATTAACAGCCGTGGCGTAGTTGATTAAAGCAGCATATCAAAAGCTGGTGAGGTCGGTGGTTCAACTTACATTGCAGTCCGCGTTACTTTCTCTCTCTCTCTCTTTTTGTTCACGCATGTATTGTTATAAGATTTGTGCCTCCTCATCAGCCTGACTTGCTGCTGCTGCTGCTGGTGGTCCTGTCTACAGACTCTTTAATATTGGCTCTTTGATGACTCTCGCATAATAAAGTGTTTTGCGAATTAGTGCTCTTAATCGGCGTGACGCAAAAAGACACGAAAAACGCAAATGCAGCTGGCTGCATTGGTTTCTTCGCCACAGGTGTCAGGAATGTTGATTTACACGGTTTATCAAAGTTTTGATGACAGAAAGGTGCACTGCAACGTAGACTTGGGCAACGTTTTTTTATGTCGCTCAGCGTACCATCACCTGGCGAGGTAACCGGCAGGTTGCTTCAAAATACTGACGTGCCACTGCAATGTTCTAGGCGATCAGCACTTGATAAACAACGCCCAAGGGCAAGTGCCGACGGCGTTAGCCCATCTAACTACAAAACAGCTTGTCCGCCTTGCTGAATAACATGCACGGCATGTGACAGCATGGGAGCATTTACGTAGCAACGGATGAGAACGGCCGTACGTGTTCGCACTTGACAAAACAGCCGGCAATGCAGTAGCTCTGGCCTTCGGAGATCACAGGCTTCGTAAGAACACTACAATAAAGTTGTTTCCATCCATCGTATGAACACTTCGCCGACGCACTGGGGTTTCATGCATGTGTGTCCGGTCAGTCACACGTGAACTGTGCGAAAGCATTTATTTCATTGTCGACCATGCCCTTCGCGAGAAGCAAAACTCGACAGCAAGAACACTTTCACCTTTGACAACACCACGCTTTGCATTGCAATCTAGAAAATGCAGTACGTCCAACAACTATAATCCGCACTTCATACTGAGAAACTTATGGCGCACATACTCAGATGAAGCTGCGGTGCGGTGGACGGCCGCGCTAGCTCCAACCACCAGGTTCAACTGGGCATCGAGCAATCTCATGAAGCAGCGACGACACAGGGCCTCCGGTCCTTCTTGGGGGCGGCCTAGGCTATGGCCACGATTTCATCGGAGTTTTTCACCACCTACACACATCGCAGTCAGCTACCATCTCGCAATGTTTGATAATGATGATGATGATCTCTGTGGTCTTCCCCTTTATACCGGGGGGGCACCTCTTAGTGTCCTGACCGGAACGAGAAGAAAAAAGAAAGAAAAATCACACCAGGTCCATGAACATCACAATTGTTCACTGTCTCCTTGACCACCACTGTAGAAGCCTTGCTTTGGTATTGCTGTCGCTGCCAGGGGGTGCACGTTGGTATCGCGGCTGTCGCCTCCCGGTGCGCCACAGTCTTTCACAAAGCCGAGTGCCTCCGGTAGTGTGGCGCCATCTGTCTGACGGGGACACAGGCGTTCGCAATGAAGCACCAGGTGTTCAATGTTCTCCTCGTCTTTCCCGCATGTCCTGCACTGCACAGTGCCGTCGGCCAACGACGGGTCGAAGTGACGGCGATACACCTAAGTACGGAGCGCTTCAGCACGGGCCTCAAACAGAAGCGCACTGCCGACATTATTGTCGTATAATCGTTCGGCGGAGATGGTGGTCTTGTGAACTCTGTATAGGGCCAGGCTGGGTTTCTTCTCCATAGCCGCCTGCCACATCGACGTCTCAGCTTCCTGCACTCTATTCCGTACTCCTACTGCCCATTTCCTCTCACTGTCCTCCTGGACAGGGTCAGTAAAAAGGGAGTACTTGCGGCACAGATTGTGGAGACGCCTGCGCCATGGTGTGTTCATGCCCTTGATAGCTGTGTATCTAAATGCACGACAGGCCCACCGCTGGTCGTTCATGAGGCGAAGACGTCCTTCTTAGGCCGCCTTGCTCCTTGCCTCGCGTGCTTCGTAACTTGACCATCCGAGGTCGCCCTGTATAGCTTCGACGGCCACACGTCCATGACACGCCAGCGCCAGTCGCCCGACCTCACGTTGACCTCTTTCCAACCACTGGCGTGTTGCTGCAGACAGGCAGATGACGGCGTTGGCGAATGTCAGCACTGGCACATGTACTGCCTTTCACAGTTCGCGCACCAGTACAAACCGGTTGCACCCCCACAGACTCCGCCGTCGCAGCACGTTGGCGGCCCTCTCAGAAGCCTGTCGAACGTGCTCCTCTTGCTTGTCATAGATATCTGCGGAGGTGCAAAGGTTGACACCGAGATACCGGTACTGGTTTGATACCGGAATGCTTCCTCCGTCGGGAAGCTGCACATCAATGGTCTCCACGCCTGAAAACTGCAATATGGCCGATTTTTTGGCATTGAAGTGAAGGCCCAGACTCTTCAGGTGGTCGGCCGCCAGTGTTACCAACCTCTGAAGGTCACTGCTGCGCTCAGCCAGTAATACTATATCATCCGCGAACACCAAGCCGGGCAGCGTCCATGTCTGCGCCACCCCACCAATCATGAGGCGGAACGCGAAGCCAACTCCCGATTCCACGAGTGCCTGCTCGAGTCCCGCCACATATAGCATGTATAGCAGCGGAGACAAAGGGCAGCCCTGCCTGAGTCCTCTTGTCACTCTCACAGGCTGTGTTCTGGTGCCTCTGAAGCATGCTACCACCGAGCTATCTGCATAGAGCCGCCGGAGAAAGTCTGTCCACACGCTCGGCATTTGTCATTGGTCTAACTGGTGGAAAAACTCCTCGTGTGGCACACTATCATAAGCCTTGGCGACATCCAGAAAGCATCCAAGCAGACCTCTGGTTTCTCTCCGTGCCACCTCGATAGTCTGAGTGAACACGAAAAGATTGTCTTCTAAGCGTCGGTTCCATCGGAAGCCATTCTGGAGTTCCGACAGTATGCCCCTCTTCTCCGCCCAGCCGCTCATCCACACCTTCAAGACTTGAGCGAAGAGTCTATATAGGACGCTCGTCACCGTGATTGGTCTATAGTCGCCCAGCAGTCCAGCGTCGCCTCCTCTCTTGCACACGAGGCTTACTCTGCCGCATTGCCAGTCAGGTGGGATTGGGCCGTTCTTGAGGATGGTATTGAAAATTTCCGCGAAGTGTTCTCGAGCAGACTTCCCCAAGCATTTCACAAGGCCCGCCGGTATGCCGTCCAGTCCGGTAGCAGTGCTTGCACTGATACGCTGGAGTGCACGCTCAAGAGCGATCCTCGTTATCTGCCAATGGTCCTCTTCACTTGGCTGGTGAGGCTCATCCGGGTCGCCGTTTACTGCTGAAGTCGATTCGTCATGTATGAGATTGAAGAGCTCTTGCATGTGGGTCGTGAGGTACGCTGCGAGGTCGGTGACCGGTAGGTTGCTAGAGTGGCGTCGAATTTCAGGTGCCGGAGTTTGGCGATCTAACGAAGACACATATTTCCAAAATTTGTTTGCACCGTTACGCCCTGCCTCTGTAATAGCTCGCAATTGTTTGCTATTGTACTGAGCTATTTTGCTTTGTACGAGGATCTGCATCTCTCTTTTGAGGCAGAGGTATTCCTCCCAGGTACTCATGCACTCCTCTCCGGGTGATGTCCTAACAGCCGCTCTTTCGCAGCCGAAGCGCTCATGGCGCCCCCAGTATTTAAAGTACTTGTAATATGTGTTTAGTTAACAAACCTAGGTTGATTGACTCGTTAAACACCTGTTTAGTAAAATATTTGTAGTTTTAACACATTACACATGAATAATTTACACCTTTAACTAGCTTTAGGTATAATTTTTTAAATTGACGTCACTTTCGTGCGGCGCAGAAGCCACTTCTGTGTGGTGATGGCTGCTGCACCGCTCGGTGCAGAAGACGCTGACTGGATTACGTTTGGTTTCGTTTTTAAATTTTGTCAAGCGTGTGCGTGTGTGTGTGCGTGCGTGTGTGCGTGCGTGTATGTGTGCGTGTGTATGTGTTGTTTATTCTAAGTGTGACAATAATAATAAGCACCTAGCATCGACGGAATTTTTACAGTGGAGCTGTGAATGACCCTCCTCTTTGAACATCCGGCGTCCGCACGGGCTACATTTAAAAAAAGAAAAAAAAAACACGCGATTTTTTCTGAGCGAGCAGTAGTAATAGTGACGTCACAAGTCATTGAAGTTCGTGCAGTCCTTAATTTACATTACTGTTCCGTGGGCCGATCCTAGAAGTAGATAGTGCACCTCGACGTGAGGTGCAGAAAGAACCAGTGCAGTAACTCTAAAGTGGAGGGCGTCACCGACCTCCAAAGGAATTTTTTTAATGTGAAGCATTTCGTAGTGAACTTCGGCGACATTGAACGTATCTATCTATCTATCTATCTGTCTATCTATCTATCTATCTATCTATCTATCTATCTATCTATCTATCTATCTATCTATCTATCTATCTATCTATCTATCTATCTATCTATCTATCTATCTATCTATCTATCTATCTATCTATCTATCTATCTATCTATCTATCTATCTATCTATCTATCTATCTATCTATCTATCTATCTATCTATCTATCTATCTATCTATCTATCTATCTATCTATCTATCTATCTATCTATCTATCTATCTAGCCACGTACAAT